CATTACACCAAATACACAAAATAATGTTATTTTTAGCAGCATCATATGACCCCTTTAACGGTTAAAATTGGTGCTGCAGTCCAGGCCCGGATTGGCTAATCGAGGGCACCGGGAAAATTCCCGGTGGGCCGGTCTGTTTTTTGGCCGCGAGGGCCAGTACTGTCATGCCACTGCTATGGGGTTGAAATATGTATGCCTGTATTTAAGGCATCAAAGAAACATTTTCCTTGTCAAAGAGACTCATGTGCAAGAAATGCTGATGTGTGCGCTTGTGTGTAAGCCCACAGTTTCCAAGGTGCAAAAGGAATATTGTTTAAAAGTTTTCTGTTTCAAGTAAGGTACTGTATGTTCATTGAGTTACAGTGTTCAATGATGCTTCTTAGGCAAACTAATGTTGTGACCTTGTCTGCTTTAAAATATAAGAGTAGAGTTCTATATTTCTCACTTACTCCCTATATTTTTAATCCACTATTCCCAATAAATCTCATGATTGCATTAATTTGTTTTCTCACATTTGGACCATAATTTAGTATATTACTTATTGCAAATTCTTTCCTAAACATTGCAATTCTTCCTTTCTCTTTTGTACACATTGCATACAGTGTTGGGATGTAGTTACATATGGAAGGATATTCTGGGCTTTTAGAAACACTTTCGAATGTGTTATCCATATGTGGAAAACATCCAAACGCAGTTTCCACACAATCTGTGTACAGTCATGGCCAAAACTTTTGGCAGTGACATAAATTTTGTGTTTTGCAAAGTTTGCTGCGGATAATTTGTGGATTATTTCCCCACATGTTTCTATGGTATACTGAAAAACAATGATAAGCATATCATAAGCTTTAAAGGCTTTTATTGGCAAAAAATATAATGAGTCAATATTTACAGCGTTGACCCTTGTTCGTCATAACCTCTGCAATTCGCTCTGGCATTCTGGATATTAGCTTCTGGGCCAAATCCTGACTGATTATTAGTTCTCGGAGTTGATGACAATTTGTGGGCTTCTGCTTGTCCACTCGCCTTTTGAGGACTGACCACAGGTTCTCTATGG